TTTTCTTAAGGAAATAAAATTGAAAATTCCATATGATTTAGCAATGCATCTGATAGGTATGTATCCCCAAAATAAGAAAACTCGAATCTGAAAAATAAAGTGTACTCCTATATTCACAGAAGCTCTATCCACAACTGTCAAGTCAAGGGCACTCAACCTGAGTGCCCACTGACAGACGGATGGATAAAAAAATGTAGAATATATACTTAAAGGAATAATACACAGTTATTTAAAAAGATGAAATTGAATCTTTTTTTAAAAAGATTTATTTATTTATACAACGACTGGGGTACAGGCCAGAGGTGCGGGAATCGAACTGGCGCTGCAGACTGCAGACAGCCTCACAGAGCTGCGTTCAACCCGCTGCGCCACCGGGGAAGCCCTGACATAGCATCTTTTGCAACAAAATTGATGAACCTCAAGGTGATCATGTTAAGTGAAATAAGTCAGAAAGTAAAAGACAGCTACTAGATGGTTTCACTTATCTTTGGAATATAAATAGCCAAGAAGTAAACACTGGAAAAATGCATCAAAATTTTTTGACATAGTGAAAAAATTTATAAGCTACCAGAGAGAAATGAGGGGAAAAAGGAATGGGGAAAAGGGGAAGAGTTGGTTTGGTGAATGGTGACTGGAAGATGTGCACATATGAAGAAGTAAAAATGGAACCCTTCAATAATAAAATAATAGTAATAATAATAATAATATAAACACCTTGAGCCTGAAAGAGATCTAAAAACCAATTTGAATGTTACTGAGGAAGGGGGTCCAGGATGGGTCCTAGTTGGTTGTAGTGTGCCAATTCAGGAGCATAGTACTCTAGTGGGTCTTTTATTATACAGTCAACTAGAAAATGAGCGCTATATCCAAGAAGGGTTTTTATCTTTGGTGAACCTTCATGAATGTAGGTGTGAAGTAGTTCTTTTTGTTATTTTAGAGTTCCTTTAAGTATTTTTTAAAAATCCAGAAAAGTTTGTCACATTAAATTGCAGTATTTATAAATGGATTTTTTTCTCTCATTCTTGCTCACTGTGACAGCTTCAGTTGTTGTTATTGTGACATCAGCGGCTGAAACCTTTAGTTTTAGAAATCAAAAGTAAAGGACAAAAAGAAGATAGGAAAGAAGGATGATTTTAAGGAAGAAAATTTGGGATGGGTGCAGTAATTCACAGGGTTGGATAAAGACAGATTTCCAGGCAATCTTCCTGATTTTCCTTCATTTTCATTTCATTTTGTTACCCCATCAGAAATTCATGTGAAGCGTAGTGTCTGGCATATAATAAACCCTAAGGAAATGTTAGCAATTTTTCTCCATTTTATTAGTTAATAAACATCAGCTTTAAAATGTCATTTAATTTTGCTGGTTATAAATGATCATAAATCACAGCATTTTAGTTAAAAAAGATTAAGGGGGAAGGCAGAAAACACTGAGCTCCTCTTAATCATCCGTATAACTGTGTAAGCTAACACATGGGAAATTTGAGGAGTTCAGAAAGTCTATATGACAGAGTGTGTAATTAGCCCACAGACCTAGATTGGAAGGGAGATCGATCACACAGGACTTCTGTTACATTTTGACTAACTGCTCTGAATATGCTGGTGACCCAGTGACACTAATGAGTGTATGTGTTAAGAGAACAATTGCATGTGATTTTGAAGAATGGTTATTTTTTTGGTGGTTAGTGCTTAAATCATTCTAACCCACCATTAATTTCTTTGTGATGGACTGAAGCAACATGCAGTTTCTGCAAGGCAAGAACCTCTCAGAGAAGTTGAAGAGTTAGGATCAAAACTGCTATAGGAAATGGACTGAAAAATAGAGGAGATATCGTTTCTATCTTCCACCACCTAGAGTCCTTACCACCAGACACAGAACTAAATTGATATTTATGAACTATTTGGTGAAGTAACTACTACACATAATGTTATTTCTACATGAGAGATCCCTAATTCTGAACAATGAACTTAAGAACTGATGCTTGGTATATACTGCCTCTACTAAGTGGGGGATTGCAAAGAGCATCTTAAAGCATCTTTATGTGTGGATGGAAATTTGGGGGAGAATTTGTATAATTCTGAAGTCAAGTCTAATGGCTACATGCTTCTTTGCTTAACAAATCTGTTTCCTCATTTTGAAAAGAGGAGAGGAACACAGGTTATTCATAAAAAAATATTTCTTTTCATGTGGACTTTAAAAACACATGATGTGGATAACTGGATGTAGTAATCTGAAAGATTCAAAACATTAAATTAGAAGATATTATTCAAATAAATTAACTGTGCTCTTGACTTCTGCATTTGCTTCATGTATTGAGGTTTTATGTCTGTTTTTTTTTTTTTTTTTTTTTAGGTCCTGGAATAATCTCTTCTTTAGAAACTTAGACCCCATTTTTTCACTGAAATTTAACTATAAAAATAAAGTTTCTGCTCATATGCTAATATTTAAAAACACAGTTTGATTTGTAAATATTAGTTAGATATGGAATATAATATTTCTGCCACATTTTAAAAATACTTTCCTTTTGATTAGTCATCAGCCTTAGTACCAAAGAAACTTCAAAGTTCTCTCTAAACATTGAATTTTCATCAGTGATGCTGTAAGCCTTCATTCTCATCTTTCATGCTTACCCATACAATAACTTCAAAAGGCAAAAAAGAAAGAATGATAATCTCTTCAAGCATTTCTGTGCTAGCATCAGTAATCTTGTTTTAGCCACTATGCATTCACAACCGAATCACTACTTCATTACACTATGCTTTAATGAATAAAATAATTAACACTTTGATACAAAAAAGCAAATAATCAAACCATTCAGAAATTAAATCCAGAGCTCAAAGGATTTCTAGAAGAAAATGAAAAAGAATTAGACAACATCAAATATAGACATCTTCAAAGGGAAAGGAATCATTTAAAACTTGCCTTTTACTTACTGACATATGTTCTGCACATTTTGTTTTTGTCATTCTACTTGTTATAATCCAGCCAGTGAATGTTCAAAGAACATAAAATCCTACAAATAAATAATTTGAATAAATACAAAAAAGGCAACATGAGGATCAAGAGTCTCAAGTGTAAGCTTTAATTATATGTATCAGTTATGTTTCCCAGTGGTGATCTACCAATATGTCATTTATTAGTAGAAGTAAATGATAAATTTACTTTTTAGAATTATTTTTTTTGTCAGTTACATAAAATTCCAGCAGGAAGTTACAATAGACTTCATTGTTTTTAGTTAGTTTTTTTAAATAATAAGCTATATTATTGGTGTGTAGTTAGCACTTAGTCAGTCACCTGAGGAATTATTGGAAACTACACCAGAAGGAACATGATGTAGCAGAGCTGTGGTCTGTGGTGTGTTAACCTTGAACCAGAGTAGATTCAAAAGTAGGAAGTACTTGTGAATTGTGTTTTGGATCAAGGAATAACCTCACACTGGCACCTTCCTAAAGATCTCTCACTACAGGGTGAGAGACAGTATTAAATGTAGACAGTATTAAAAAATAACAACAATTTTTCCTATAAAATTATACATAGAAGTCAGGAATTTATCTTGATAATATAGGCAGGAAACTGTAAGTTTATATAGGCCAAATAAATCAAGAGCTTTATTATTTTATGGTATAAATAAAAAAATATATTGAGTTGTTAGATAATTTCATTGCCTATGTTTCTCCATCAGACTCTGGAGTTAAAAGGAATCTTTTCTGATGATTGGAGTATTATCTACATTATTGCTTCCCTAATTTATAGTGCAAAGGGAATTACTGAAAGTACATTTTTTGCCATAAAATGATCCAACATATTTGGAAAGCTTGAGGACCATCAAACTACTAAAAATGGAGCTACCATATCACCCAGCAATTCCACGTGTAGGAGTTTAGCCAAAGGTCACAAAAACATTAATTTAACAGGAAACCTGTACTCCTATGTTTATTGCAGCACTATTCACAATAGTTAAGATATGGAAACAACCTAAATGCCCCCAAGCAGATGGCTGGATCAAGAAAATGTGGCATATATACACAATGGAATACTATGCAGCAACCAAAAATATAAGCATGCCATCAGACTGTTCCATAAAATAGATGAATAGGGCATATTTAAGATGGCCTGTTTTTTATATAAACATTAAGAATGGTACATAATAATAATAAAGGCCAAAACAAATGGTAAGCTGAAAGTGGAAAATTAAAAACTCTGTCAAAGTTATAGAAGAGAATATGGAATTGAAGAAATATTAGATGATCTGCAAAACTGAAAGAATTGTTTAGATTTGTAGATAAAAATGGGAATTGAGGAAACATGACTATTTATAAGTATGAAATTCTAGCATTCAATATCCATGAATTCTACTTCTTACAAAAATAACTAATTAACACTAATTTCTCTAATGTTTCTGGAGCAATAACCCATGTGTGTGTGTATATATATATATATATATATATATATATATATCTGTATATGTTCATATACATTAACAGAGCATTAAAAAATGTCCTGAATGAAATTATGAGTTGAAAAGAAAAGTAAAAGATACAATATCTTTGTAATAATGGAAACTAGTACATATCCATCCATCCCTGTCATTGTATTTATCTATGTATTTTGTTGGAAGGACAAGAAAACTATATATATATATATATATATATATATATATATATATATAAACTATGTATATATAACATTTAAGAGAATATCTGGTTGTTGATATTTAAACAATGAAACTTTTCCTAGGATAAATAATGCATATTTATGTTCATTTATTTTTTCATTGGAAGTAAAAATAAGCCAAAATTCTAAATTGAAGTTGAAAGAGAAGGGAAACTCAACATTTGCTGAGTGGGACGAGAGAGGAAGTCAGTCACCACGGAAGGGTGCCTAATAGAAATTGAGACTCCTACATTCTGATTTCTAAAGATTTCTTGTCCCAAACTAGTCCCCTATGCATTAAGCTTAGTATTTGGGGTAAATGCTGTGTAAAATGAGATTTACCGTACCCCTACTCTTGCAAGACCATATTTACCAAGAGAAAACAAGCACCAATCATCGCTGCTTTGACTGTCACATCTAGATCTGCAGGAACATGAATCCCAAAGTTGTCAGCATTTGTGAAGACGTCATTTACAAATCTCGACCAGTACTTTGAAATCTTACCAATTGTAAGGTTTTCATTAATGGTGATCACCTTTGAAAATAAAATAAGAGGTGTTAAATTTGAAAGCAAAACAAGATTTTACAACTCTTTTAGTATGTTTCCTTCATGAGAAACATGAATTATTTTATTTGTCATCTTCTAAATTACAATTTGGTATTACTAATTCATTTATAGAATTACAGGTGTGTATATTTAACTTACTGGTTCACTTTTCAGGAATTTTGCTTTTATAACAGTTTTGTAATCTATCATAATTGCTTTTGTTTGTTTATAGGTGGTAAAAAAATAATAGCAATAAATGAGGCCAGGCTACCACAAGATGGCAGCAGGGACACGGGCTCAACTATATTGTCAACCATGAAAAATAATCCTTTTCTTTTCAAAACCTTAGATCATGTTTTATGACTGAAATTTAACTGCGAATAAATATACCTTAAGTCAAGATTTCAAATTTTATTTTCTTCACTAAAAAATAAGTAAATTCTTGAAAAGAACTCAAGCATTTTGAAAGAAATTAATTGCTAGGTATTATTTGTAAACTTGTTTGATTTTATAATTACCGACACAAGTATTATTAGACATTGCTTTATCTCATTTCATATTGTAGTATATTATATTCTCCTATAATTAACACTATGTCCTATTTTTGCATTAAAAAACTCTAATGTATTACACAGAAATTCAGAATAAATTGACATTAAAATATCTCTAGTCCTTAGCTAGAGATCTACAATTAAATTGTGTCAACTAATCACGGGCTTTCCCTGAGTCACTTCAAAGGCTGAAAGTAATCTAATATAAACTTTCACTTTCTGTATGGCAGTAGAAGTTAAAAAACAAGAAAGCTACTTGGGATATCCCTCTACTACGGATAGTAACATCCTCAAGTCTTGTTTCTCTTTGAAAACAGGCAATATTTATACTTGACTCCTAGGAAAGCTATACCTATTCCTTCTGAAGTAGGATGGAGTCGGGACTACTCACTTTGCAAAACTTACATTGTATTGTATGTGAATAGTGTTCTCTGTAGTCATGGAAACTGGATGTCCTAGAGGAATATATGTGAATGCATGAATAAATGAATGAATTAAAAATAAATATAAACTTTAAATTAGGCCATTTCTAGGAAATAAAGTTCACATTGCTACAGACTGAATTTGCAACTAACTAGTGTTTAATGTTCAACTTACAGAAATGTGTTTGAGAGTAGACTGTTTTACAAAACAAAGTTATGAAGTTTATGAACAGAGTTTTTAAATCAGTGATATTTAATTGGCTTATGCTTCTGAGATAACATCTGAACTAGAATGTGTTACCACTGGGACCATAGGATAAAAATGCAACTTACTTCATTTTAAACTCTACTACTTGCTTTATACTATAGGTACTGTAATTTCACATAATTCAGATTTTTGTAGTATATTTTACAAGAATTATTGAAATTAGAATTAAAATAAACATGAACAATATGTACTCCTTATATTATTTCACATATATATTCTTCTATAAATTATTTCAGTGATACTTCCTGATTTGAAGCTTTTCATTTAATGAGCTGTATTCCAAAAAAATCACGATCTAAGTGAAAACTTTCTTCATTTTGTCAATCATACCTCAAAATCCACATCACCAAAACAGCCACACGTTGCGTAAGGACCAACAATTTTCAAAATATCTTCTTTGTTCGCATTTTGAATTGTAAATTTAGGCAGAAACGGGTCCCATTTCTGTGCAACATAGCCAACTGTAGTGCCAGGAGGGGCTTGGATTTCTAACTGTAAGAAGAGATAATGTAAGATTTTACTATCATGGCAACTATCTCTTAGAGTAAACTGTTTTGAAATTATTTTCATGTTCTGTAAATCATTCCAAATCCTTGCTTCTAAGGAAGCAAAGCAGTGTTTTAAAAAATACTTTATAGAAACAAATTCACTCTAAAGATATTGTCACTATGCTCTAAAAATCCTTATCTTCGATCTTCCATAAAGAAAATGGAGCCCACACAATGACTTCTGTGCTATTTGTGTTCCAAGTACAACAATTTTTCAAGCATTGAAGATATTTCATATGAGATACCTCATACATTTGAAATTTAATATCTTCAGATAGTGAACTTCCAACTTATCTGTGTTCAGTTAAAAATAAATGTTACTTGTAGAGTTACAGTTATCACACATCAATTTGATTGCTGTTTTACTTTTTTCAAAGTGCCAAAACTAGTAATTACATTTTTAGTCTTTAGTATTTACTCTAGTACCCTTCATTCCCCTAGAATTTTTATTTTTCATTATAATTTATAACATATCCATGTAGTCTAATCAGAGTCCTTGTAAAGTATGATGGAGCTGAGTATAAACTTTGAAAATTCTTTTCTTTTAAATCAAACCAGAGGTTCATAATTTGATCTTAGTTTTTCTTAATGTGTAACTTCATCGTCGTAGGTGCGTATCTGTAGTAGTGTTCTTGTGTAGACAAAGGGGGTTTCAACAAGAGAGTGTAGAAATTATACAAATTTGCTCTGAGATCACTTTTACTGTAACTGGTTTGATTTTGACCAAATTAAAAAACTATTAACTAATATTTAGAGGCATCTTATATTTGTATGACACCAGACTACTGTGACATAAAGCATCAATGTCAGAAATGTCAAATGTCACATATTTTGTGATTTATTGACTATACCATCATGTGTATATTTGAGCTTAAATATTCTCAATAGGTGGGCAGAAATTCTTAGCTTCATGTATAAGAACCTTAGATATCTTATCAATTAACCAGTTAATTGTCTATTTGCCTATAATATATATGAGAATTGTCATATATATGTAGAAACTTGCCTAATTAACCTCTTTCCATATTAATCATTGATTAATCTACTTCCATATTAATATATATTTCCCATCATTGAAAGTAGAATACTTATACAGAGGTCTTGTAGGGTAAGGAAAAATGTCAGGCTTTTCTGCCCTCCCGCCAGCAGGCATAGATGATGGATCCTTGCGGTCCTGAATGCATGACTGATGGCGGGCACCTTGAATAGGGTGTGGGCTTAGGTAGTTGGGATTCACCTGGGCTAAGACTGGGCTTTTATGTGTGGCATCATGAGGACGCCAGTAGAAGCCGAGACGCCAAGAACAAGAATGAGCAGAAGCCAAGAAGAAGCCAAAAGAGAAGCCGAGAGAGAAGCAAAAGAAGCAGAAGCTGAGAGAAGGCCGGAGAGCCCAGCCCCTCAGCGCCCCTGCCTGCCTTGTACCTGGTAATCTAAGTAAAAAGACCTGCAAAAAGCCACTGGGGACTCTGACTCCTCCTTTACCTGGTCTGCTGGATCATAGAAAACATGCGCTGTGGTCTTCCAGACTCTCCAGGTCTTAATAGAGAAACTTGGTTCTAAAGAGACCTTGATCAAGTCCAATACATGTTATTTCATAAATGTGTATATCACCTCCACTCTCTAAGCATCTGTTCCATAATTATAAAATGTGGAGAGTAAAACCTGTTCTTTCTAGCTCATAGAGATCTCAAATTGCATTGCTGGTGGGAGTGCAAACTGGTCCAACCACTATGGAGAGCTGTGTGGAGATTTCTTGACCTACTAAACATAGAGCTTCCCTATGACCCAGCAATTCCACTCCTAGGTATTTACCCAAATGACACAGAAACATTAATTCCAAAGGGCACCTGCACTGCTATGTTTATAGCAGCACTATTTACAATAGCTAAGCTATGGAAACAACCCAAATGCCCAAAAGTAGATGACTGGATCAAGAAGATATGGTACATACACACAATGGAATATTACTCAGCAATTAAAAAAGATAAACACATGCAGTTTGCAGCAACATGGATGGAGCTAGAAGGGATCATGCTCAGCAAAATAAGTCAGAAAGAAAAAGAAAAATACCGGATGGTCTCACTCATAGCAGGAATTTAGAAAACTTAAGTAAGGGACCGGGAAAAAGACTAATTAATACAAAGTAAAAATCAAAATCAACAAGCAAGTATGGATTAGAGACACACTGTGGGTGGTGGGGAGGGGTGGGGAGAGGAAGGATTAGGGTCAAAATAAGGGGGGGTGCAATTGTATGGGGAATATAACCAAAATGAAAATACATACATTGTGCACAAATGAAAAATGAAGTAAGAATCATATAAATTATTAAAAACAAACAATAAAACAAAATAAATGCCAGTCATTAAAAAGATAATTGCCAATCTTTCCAAAGGAGGGGGGAAAAAAAACACACGTAAAGCCAATGACTAACCTCTTGTAGGTAGCAAGGGCACCAGCAGCTGTTACACCTCAAGGGTCTGTTTACTGTAATCACCTCTCTACCTGAATTGTCTGTGATTTTCAGAATGCAAGATCGCAGGGTGGAACAGAAAGTACGATTGAAGCAGATGCTTTCCTCCACAGCAAAGTAAATTCTTTGTCCCAAGCTGTTTTTAATCTCATATTTGTTAGAGGTTTCAGTGCCAAGTATCACTAATGAAGCAAAAAAAAAAAAAAAGCATCATATAAAGCTATTGCTTAATATCAAACCCTTAAATGAATAAAAGAAGTGCTATTAAAACAGTAATCAATTATTAATAGATGGCATCTTCTTACAAATCTACTTCTGTGCTCTAAAACTTGAGAACTTAGACATAGAAAACAAAGTAATCTCTGAGAACAAAGGTGTTCAATTAATACAGTTTGACTCTTGGTATATGACCTGCTTTCTTGTTTTCAGTTAAGAAAGCAATGCTATAAAGAAAAATTTAGGACTTGAAAAATGATTCTTTCATTATTATGGAATTCACTGGAACACAGCAACTGGAATTCGCTGAGATTTTGTCTAAAAATCTTTGTGTGATAATATATCTACAAATGTAGATCTATTTATTTCTGCTATTCTGCTATTTCAATTTTGAAATGTTTTATAATTAATATATAGTCAAATAATTTGAATTCAGTTAATCATAGCTGTAAATGTGTGCATTAAAAAATTTGCCTATTTGAAGAATCAATGAAATTGATGAAATTTTATTTTGATGTGCTTTTGTCAGTCTCAAGATTGCTTGACAGCCCTGAAATTATGAGGGAAATTCAAATTATTAGCAACCATGGAAATTAATTATCATATATCTTTTATTATTTAAGGTTAAAATTTATGTTAGATTACTAATGACAATATTACTAAAGATTTAGAGTTTCATGCTATTAAGATTATCTGAATCAGACTAGTAATTTTATTAAAGATTTATTTATTTAGGCATATAAGAGCTGGGGTGCAGGCCGGGGATGAAGTGGTGAGAAGATTCACCAGAGACAGAGTGGGGAACAGAACAGGCAGATCTACTGAAATACACTTTTGAAGGGAGCAGCGGGTGAGACAGGAGAGGTCCGCTGCACCATGTGGGTCACCTCCCTGGTTGGGGATTGAATTCATACTGCAGTCACTTTGGATAGCTTCATAGTGCTGACAGTTAACACATTGTGCCACCAGGGAGGCCCCTGACTAATAATTTTACTTTCAACTTTTATATTAGAAAAAATAGACCAAGTATTTTTCTTTTTTATTGAGGTAACATTGCTTTAAAACAATATATGATTTAGGAGAATAGGTTCACATTTAGGAGAGTAGGCTCCTTAGATGTATGTCAACACACCACAACTACCACTATAACACTCATAGTACTTTTTGATCTAAGTTTACTCTAAGCTATTAATTTTATTGTTTATTAAATAGATATGAAGAAACTTTTAAAAAGTACAGTGTTTTGGGCCTCCTCTGGTGGCGCAGGAGGTTGAGCTCAGTGCTGTGAAGCTGTCTGCAGCATCTGCAGCACCGGCCGGGGTGAAGGTCCCACATGGTGCGGTGGACCTCTCCTGTCTCGCCCGCTACTCCCCTCAGCAATGTATTTCATCAGTCTGACTGTTCTGTTCCCCGCTCTGTCTCTGGTGAGTCCCCGCACCCTCCCACGCATCTGGCCTGTACCCCGGTTCTTGTATAAATAAATAAATAAATCTTTTTTAAAAAAAGTAAAGTGTTTTAAGTAGTTTTAATTAGTGGGAGTATAACATACAATATACTTACTTCCAAGAAGCTCCACTTGCTGGTGTATAATGATCAGGTCTAACTGTTAAAGGGTGACATAAAGGAAATAAAAAGTATTACATCACAACATTCGAAAATCTCTGAAGAGAATAGGATTAATTTGTTTACTAGACTACATGAAATTCGGTGATTTTCATATTTTTTATTGGCTGCATTTTTTAAAACAGCTAACTTTTGGTAATAAAAAAGGAAGATAAACTGTTTTTTTTGAAATGAAAGTGAAAAATTACAATAACCCTTAAACTTCTAATGCAGAATTGCCAGAATAAGAATAGGAACTGTGGTTAACATTTGTACTTTTTCTGTGGTAATGGGATAAAAGAGTAGAAGTTGGAAACAGTGTTTGAGAAAATTTTTGAACAACAGCTGACTAATAATACCAAAGAAGTGTGAAAATGCCAAATTTTTGAAAGGAAATGCAACAAAGCAATAATGAACTGATACCTTGCTATTCCTTTCAGCCCTGACTACTTTCACTCTGTCATACTGAAACCACTCCTAATAGTAATGAGATATATTTGTTAAAACTGAAAGAGGTTGTGCTACAGGTTTTTTCCTTTCACAACAGAAATCCTTTTAGTGCCAACTAAATACCAATTTAAGCAAAACAAACAAACAAACAAAAAAAAAACCCCAAAAACAATGTTACAAAATGATAAAATACAACATGATAAAATTTGCCTGATATAATTAGAATTGCAGTTAATTTACAGAGATTGCTGAGAGAGGATTAAATTAAAAGTTACCATACAGATTATTTTTTAAAACTACATAGTAAAAACTTATTCTTAAGTGTTCTTTGTGTATTTTTAAGTTTGATATTCAATACTTGAAGATTCACAAAGAATCATGAATACTATTTTAATGTCAATCATTATCTCTTGGAATACTTCATTTTCTCCTTTGCCTTAAAAAAATCTTCACTTTACTTTACCTTTGCAATACTATACTCACTGGTAATTATTAAACTGAAGTAGGCATATATTTTATAATATATGATATTGCTTTGGCATCACAAACCCAGAATTTCTGTTCTATTGTTATTTACTTCATTCTCCTTGTATAGCCTGAGATGAAGGTAAAACTAACATCATTTCCTCTATTTAAATCTTATTGTTGATAAAAGAGTGTGCGTACCATCTTTTTTTAAAGAGTCACAAAAAATGCTTTTCCAAAAAATTTTTTTGATTTAATATATTCTAACATTTAGTATAATAATCAAGGCAAAGCTTTTTTTGTTGCTGTTGTTAGACTAAGTGTTTTGTAGTGTACTGTTGTTGGTTCTCTTGGGATGGTGAGAAGTAAACCTCTAAGAGGAGAGCCATGGTTTTCTAGCAGTGGGCTGATGTAACATAATTTAGGGATGGGTAACTATGGGGACAAGACAAAGACTTGAGTTTAGGAACACTGAATGTTATTGTTATTGCTATGTGTCAAATGTTAGTCTTGAAATACATCAACTATCAATTGAGATACACTCCACAATAAAAAGGGAAACTGTATTTTTCTAATATCTAAAAATAGCAGCTGTTTACTTAATGACTACCTTAAGGTGCTAGATAGTTTGTGATAGATATTTTGACAAACTGTCTAATCCTTACAAAATTTCAGAGAGATAGATGTCATTGCATATTACACATGAGGAACCAATCCCAGAAAGATTAAGTAAATTGCCCAAGATCACAGTGCTTACAAATAGGTAAGCTGAGATTTGAACCCAGGTCATAATGCTGCCAATTTCAACCTGTTTTCTACTCTATCATACCAGCATCACTAAACTAATCTTAGGACCTGTGAGAAACAACTTTTAAGTGATACTTTGGAAATTCTGAGTACCATTCTTCCCTATTTTCTCTTCTCTTCTACTTACCCACACCCTGTAATAACATTTGATTTGTCTCGGAGGGCGGGCAGTTTTCTGGATTTGAGGATCTTGTGTTTGGTTGTCTTTGTAATTTCCTTAAGTAGGCTCTGGAACATTAATGGATGGACTAGGAATTGTTGGAAGCCTTAAATAGATTGGATTATATATTCAGGTGTCAGAGCAAGTAAAGTTCTCCTTTAGTATGAAGGCTACAAAATGAAATTCAATGATAATGTTGAATATATAGCATGAAGATTCATTTAGTGTATAAATTATTAGATTTGAAAATATCAGTGATTCTGCTTAACATCTGTATCAAAGGAAATTGGATCTTTTCACGTATCTTTATAGACTCTAATTCACCACTTTTACCTATAGATGACTAAATTACAAAGATTATCCATTGGCATTTATGAAAAAATGTTATTGACTATTGTGAACACGATAAGCCAATCTAGAAAAATAATCTATGTTTTATTATTAGATTTAATTTAAGTTAATTAGATTTAATCTATATGAACAACAGCATTACACACACACACACACATATATATAACACATATACATGAATTTATTTTCAAGTTGTTTATGGAAACAAAAATTTCTGTAGTCATCAGATGGACTTGGTTAAGAAAGAATAGATGATTTTATAAATTTCACTCTGATTTTAATTTAGATGAATTTTTTGGTATATCTCCTGTTTATTTTTTGAAGAATGTTTTATTTCCAAATGTTGGTTATTTTATTTGATTTGTATGATTTTTAGACAACAATTAGCACATAAAATTAATTTTATATGTCTTTTACAACCCCTGCTATATGTACATGCTCTTAAAGCCCATCAGTGCTCTTTTAGTATAAAGCGAGTATATTATCTTTCCCTTTGAAGTAAAATATTCACCAGCTTGTGACATATTTTTGTTTTCTGAAAAAGATTACCAGAGGTATATCTTTTTAAAAATTTACTTCATTTTAGATGAAGCCAATAGGTTCATATCTCTATTTACTGAGCTTGAAGAAAATGTACTCATGTCAAGCATCTGGCTCTGGGTGTGTCATCATTCATGGATGGAAGAAGGATATGTGATGACCATATGTGATCATCAAACCCCAGCCCTCTGGCACTGGTATATCACTTTTATACTTGGCAAAACCTTGTCTGACAACATTCCCAAACAGCTTGCAGCAGTTAATCAACTCTAGTCAGCTATTACAGCTGATCCTTTCTGCAGATGGAAGATAGTGGGCTAGATTTTCCAGCTCTTTTACATATCTCCCTGAGCTCTCCAGTCTCTAATGTACATTTGTCTGCCAGTGGGTTTCTGGAGAAGGCATCTGCAATTATAAACATTTTCCCAGGAACATATGCTGCATGCAGCTATCAGGCATAACAGAAATTTCTTGTACCTTAAGGGAATTAACACAGAGATTTGATTTTGATAAAGGAGATAGACTTTATAGTTTGAAAGAATGCCAAACAAGCTGAAAATTGCAGCAGATGTGCTGACATCTCAATATTAGTGTAAGTGTATGTCTAATCTTTTCTAGTATAAAATAAAAAGCAACAATAATACATAAATATCAACTGCTGTTTATGTGCCATATAATTCAGATGTCACTTCTTGATTGTCTTATTACAAAATTTGATTCATTTCTTACCCTCTAATGACTGGCACAGTGACTATATCTAACAACAATTCCATCTTTCAAGCAAATTGTCTTGGAGAAAGTATCAAAGAATAATTACTGCTAACTTGATAACTTCCAGTTGGATTTTCATCCACATTTTGGGAATCATTGGAAGACAAATGTTCCGCTCCTTGTGGAATCTCTCCTGAGTACTTCTGCCTTAATTTTTCTTTAGACACCACCTTTTACTATTGTGTGCATATCAGGGTTTTATCAATTTTGTCAACATGTTTTTTTTGCCTTGTCAATAACATTGCAGAATGTTTGGGTGAGTGGGACTAAGTTTTATGCTTCTTATATACTTTGATTATAACAAGAACTCAATATTTTACAGTTATAGGTGACTAAACATATTAGGGAATCCCTGGAGGATAAAGTCACTGTCACCTTGAGCTATGAGCAGAAGGAAGATAAATGTGCTAAATTGCTCAATCAAAAATGTTTAGTCTTGCCACTCTGTCAAATAAATATGGAAAATAGAAATGCTAATAAAAGAAAACAATTTTTCCCCAAATCATAGAAACAAATAAAAAATTAAATTTCATGTTTTTCTGACTTCAATAAGTTATTTGTTGAAGTACTTCAAACTTGGTTGACAAGCAAGTAACTAAGTCTGTATTCATTTAAAGGAAAAACATTTGTAGAAATAGAGATTAAAAAATAAAATGAAACAAAAGCAAAACACCTGGCTTAAATATTCAAGACCAGGTGGGGGACTGCTAGGCAGAGACTGGTCCGGCTGCCATGCTTGGTTCCCTGGACCAGAAGGTGAGACGGGAAGACTGTGATCTGGGTCTGGTGCTCCAGGAAGAAATCCAGGTAGACCTCTACTCCATTGTTTCTGTCCATCTGCAATAGAATTAAAATATCAGGCCATCTTTGAATTTAGGGCATTTCATTTAGTATTTTTTAATAATATTTATTACATCTTATTTTAGAGGGTAGATTATTTTCTGCTGCTTCTCATGGTAGGAAGGTTTTTTAATTTTCCCTATTCATTGACACCACTACTTGACCCCTCTGATCAAAAAAAGCAATATGAAAGTAATACTGTGAGGAAAACTTGAATATGGACAAAATTAATGATTTCAGAAAATGTATTATTTGTAGTCATATAAAACTGTTTGATAAGTTGAAGAATTATAAGCTAGAAAAGAAAATTAAGTGATATAAGGGAATAGAAAACCTTTGAATTACATTTATGACTTTCAAAGCATATTCCCCATCCCCCACATATTACAAGAGTCCTTATAATTTCCAAGGACATCTTCTGTCTTGTATCAATAATACTATTTATTATTTTTCATTTTAAATGAGTGGTTCTTATACTTTTTAGCCTACATCCCAATGACATGGAAGAAAGTTGGATCCTCCTCCGGAGATTCTGATTCAGTATTTGGGTTGAGGGGTGATCTTGAGAATTTGCATTTCAAATAAATTCCCAGTTAAGCTAATGCTGTTGGTCTGGGGCTGTACTTTCATAAATGATTGTGTTCTATATAATATGAGAATATTCATAACTAATTTATAAGCTTTTTAAAGATTTTATAATATCCAATTGAGCAATGATTTGTATTTTCACAAAAACATCAAACATTTTGACAGTGTGAATCCCTTTGTATCTCAACCAATATTATAATAGAAAAAATATTAACATAATAGTATGATTTTTTAAAAGATTTATTTATTTTTTGCATAGATGAATTGAGGTGTAGGCAAAAGATCTGTGGGGGAGGGGGACAGTGAGAGGATTCATCAGAGATGGAGCAGGGAGCAGAACAGGCAGATCTACTGAAATACACTGCTGAGGGGAGCAGTGGGCGAGACAGGAGAGGTCTCCTGTACCCTACGTGGGTTAGCTCCCTGACCAGGGCAAACTTAGGCAGTAGCAATAACAGCACTGAGTCTTAACCCGCTAGGCCACCATGGAGACCCACTGTGATTTTTAAAGAAACAATAAATTTTCTGCATTATAGCTTAATAAAAATGTGGCTATTTCAATTATCTCTTAGATTGACATTTCCAGATTTTTTATATACCTTGCATCAAACTGGAGCTTTTGCAATGATATGCAAAAATTCTATTAAGTGGTACATGAAAAATTATTTTGTTAATAATTATGAATTATAAGCTTTCTACAATTATTTTTCCTTTTTCTTCTCACATGGCTGCCACTTGGGCATATTAGATGCCATTTTTTTAAAGAGGATTAGCAGTTTTTACTTCTAATCTTAATTAGTCCATAAAATATAAACATTCTCACATGTATTCACTGAGTTTATCAATGATATGCTGTTTAGATTGAGCATAGGGAGTAAGCTTACAGGAAGGTATTTTCTAATATTAAATGTATATTATAAAGACAAACAATACAGACTACCTAAAAATACATGAATGGGGAAGACAGGAATCTGGTTCTAAATTAATATAAGAAAGTAAGTTATGTCAGCTGCACAAATATTTGTACACATACTAAAATTGGAGTAGCATCTATAAAATTCACAATATATTAGACTGGCCTTTCTTCAGGACTGACACTAAAATCCATATAAGAGGGCTGTGTGAAGAGAGTTATTGACTCTTTTAAATCTCTAAATATTAATTTGAAAAATCAACTTAGTTGCTGTTGGAAATAGTAAGTCCCCCATTATTAAGTGAACAAAAGTATAGCCTAGATGAGCATCAGGAAAGCAACTAAAGAAAAAAATACATATAATAAATAAAAACTGGTGAAGGAATATAAGCAATCCAAGCAATATTCCTCTGGACACCAGCATAAACTGTTTCTGGCATTGATAAACTTGTTATGGTTGTGTGTACATGTGGTGTCAGCGAGAGATAACTGCAAGATGGTTCCTTTATTTATTTAACCTAAAGGATGTAGCAATAATCCCACATGCATCCCTAAATTTGTATTGGTTTGTAACATTTAGAATTTGGATAGGTGGTAGGATGAGGACCACGTGAAAATAAATTTGTCACTTGAAACCCCCCCCACACACACATGTCTCCCTCCCACAAAGACCCCCACCCTGAATTTTTCTTAAATCTGGGCAGACACATACAGCATAGGCTCTGCAATGTCTCTTGCTCTTGAAAAAAGGGCTTGAGTGGAAGCCCAAGCAGTAAACTGAGGGAAGACTCTGTCAACATCAGGTAAGAATTTGAAGAAGAGTCACTGGCCAATATCACAATAACAACTAGAAAATAATAAAAGATAGACAACATCTTCTCCAGCATTAATGTGAGAGCACTCCTCTCATTGACTTTCAAAGAACTGTGAAGAGGGATGTTTGAGTCAGACTAACGGACTTCACCTGTGCTCAAATTAAATCTTACTAAGTTTTTAACTTTTGAAAACTATTTACTCACCTGCAATAACTGGTTTCTAGATAGGCACAACCTCCTTCAAAAACTCTGCAAGATACATTTTTACTTCTCTTCTAGTAATCAAAGTCAATTTGATTAAAAGTCAATGACTATAATGAATATAATATATAACAAACCTTAATTATTGATTAAAAAGGTTTTTCAATGCTACCTTCTTCCCATATTATTTTGCTCATGAAAATTTCCTTAATGAGGCACAATTTGGACTGCAAATATGCTCCTTAATATGTAAACCTAAGATTCTAAATACATATTATTGTTTCTTTTTAGCCTTGTCATGTTTTCCCAGTTGACAGAAACAACATCAGAGGGAAAGTATGATCTGGGGGAAGCTAGTTCATAATATTAAATTTTATAATAGCTGTTAAACTTAGGAATGGAGGAGCATGACTACTGACCAAAGGGGGACTTTTATGAGATGCCAGAAATGTTTTATCTCTTGATCTTGGTGATTACTTACCATAAAGTCTAAGTTTGGTGCTCTCTATAAACCTTACTGTATACATGATATCCTTTCATTTTAAAAAAAATCACATGTAGAGATCAATTTCCTATAGTATCTGGTAAATTCGATTCATTCTCGTCAAATTTATTGCTAAAAAGTTTAGTATATTATTCCACTTTTAACCTATTGCTATGATGACTACAACAAAATGCAATAGATTTGAGTGTTTGACAGGTGGCTTTACATTCCTGACCATGTCTATAGGTCCTCAGGCCTCACAGCAGGTTTAGGGACATGAATACCCTTGGAACCCAGAGGAGATCACATCCAAAATCTTTACTTGGCAATCTAGGATGAAGGGATTTCACCTGGAGACTTTGGGGACCACATTTCTGAGATCACTTTCTCTTCTGGGCTACCAGTTCACTTTGTACTAATATATAGGGATAACTCCTCTTCAATGTAGATCATCCAGGAAACTCCTGTTTTTCTCAAACTTAAGGTTTGAGGTCAAGCTGTTCTTAAATTGTATTTAATTGTACTAAACCATGGGCTCCAGATACCACAAATATTTATTCAGTTCTAATGACATTCAATATGCTTGCTGTCTTTTGGCTTAGTGGTGCCTATGAAATGTGAAAATTTCAATGCCTGTATTCCCTGATAAAATGCCAATTGCCAACACAATTTCATGGAATGAAGAGCATCATGATACTGTACAAGATGCCTTTAAATATATTTTAAATATGATATCCACAAAAATATTTTAGATAAAATATGATGATAACCTGACTTGTTCCCTCAAACCAGGTATCTATTTCAAAATGAAGCTTTATTTTCACTTATTTTATATATTATTTTATATTTAAGGTCTCTAACAGCTACGTGTTAAATATTTTGAGTTGGTTACAGAAGGTGTATTAGTCTTTCACATGAAGTTTTACCTCTCTAAGTTTAGTCTTGAGTCCTTATCTTTACTGAACTTTTTTTTTACATTAGTTATATTTTGATAATAGTCCTTTCTAGTCACAAGTTTCTTCAAAGACTCAGACCACCAGATGAAGAAGGAACTCCTTTGAATTTCTATCCGGCTTTGAATTTCTATCTACTCTTTTAAAAATGTATTACTAGCTTATAAATATTTCACATCCTCTGCAACTCTTTACCTTACAGGGTGCAGTTGTTGCTGTATCTCTTATTTTATAAATTGATGAAGTGTTTTGGACAAAGTGTCATTCTTAAATGAAAATACTTGTCAATATATTTTTTGTGTTCAATTATATAAATGAAGCAACACATTAAAATTCAATTTGTTATTTCATGTATATATTTTACAATTTGTGCTTTTCCAATGATACTCAGGGATTGGTATAAATTAAATGTTGATGAAAGATGAAAAGATTACCTCATTTGTTCTATACAAAGTAGTGCCCAAAAGTGTATTTTCACTTTCTTTGAATGGATCATTAATTTAGGATATTATAATTTGGTGGACCATATTATCTTAGTTGTAATTAGGCTAAAAGGTTTCCAACAATTATACCAATCATTATTCTGCATGCTAAAACTTTTCATTATAGTGTAGTGTTTAATGATTTGTTCTAATAATGGAATAAGAACACATTATAATTTCATTTTTTACATAATTTCACAAATGTTTTAGTGAGACTGCAACTCAGTATCTTAAAAAAATCCACATATCTTGTCTTTTGAGTTCTTTAAAAGTGAAATAATACTAATGATATTTATACAACTTAAGGGAGTTGAAACAAAACTTCAAATCCCTTTAAATTTGCAGTATAAATCTGTCCTTATGTTTGGCATTAAATATTACCGTTATAATTTTTCTTATATATTTTTTCTTAGCAATTCTCTGTTTATATTTATGATAACTAAAACATTGCTTACATCTTAACTTTTATAGCAAAGAGAGTATTGTTTTTTTTTTTTCTTTCAAATTCTGAAACATGCTCCTTGGTATTAAAATTTTAAAATTTCAATGCTCAAAAGTGATAAATGGCATATTTTAAATATAAACCTGAACCCCTGCAACTCTATTTCTAATCATATTATAAGGAAAACATTATAAGTTGGTTATATTTTCTCTTACCTTTAGAGGCCATGAAGATGTCTAAGTCACTTCTTCAAAGGCAGCCAGGTTAAAAGAAAAGGCTTTTCTTTTTTCAGCAAGGAGAGAAAACACAGCATGCATGCAACTACAGAAGGTGTTTCTCTACTTGATGTCAACTTACAAATAACAGAGGAAGGGAGTGCCTTGCTGTTTCCAGTGGGCTCGATTTTATCTGTTTGGACAAGAGGGGGAGACCAAGCTAACACCAAAGGTAAACACTGCTCAGAAGCCATTTTATCTTGGGTGTTGGAAAGAAAAAGAAACTTTTAGATAATAAACACCAGACAAGAAAATACATAGCAATTATTTTAAGAGGCCTGTTCCTTTAGTTTTTTGTTTTTTTATTTGAAGTATGTACTTTTAAATTTTTTGTTACTTTGGAAAATATTCTCTAATTTCTAGATATGTCCTATGCCAGAATCTATGATAATATAGCTCAGCATGTGTAAATTACTAGCATTTCTAAATATAATTATCATATTTTGAAAGTATATGAACATCATTATTCTTATTTTACTCTCAGGGTATTTTCCTATTCCCTTTTTTTACACCAAACAAACAGGAGTAGATGTATTCTTATTTATGAATATAAATATATCTTTATTTTCATTTTCAGTTGAATTTAATGAGTCAGAGCCATTTGAAATCATAAACATCAATAACTGCTCTAGGTTAATCAAAACATACAGGTGAATTTTAACGGAACTGCATAATAAATAAATGAATAAATGAAATGCTACAACTTAGACTAGATATCTCATAGTTTATATTGCAGTTGACCAGATGACTGGAGTCTTTTTCACCAAGACAATTGTACTGGATGCAGGTTTGCAAAAGTTGAACTTACCAATTTCATCAGCAATATCTGTCCACTTCTGAAAATAGCTAATTTGCCTTAGAAGGCATAGATAGTCATGAAAAATTATAAAGTCGGTCTTGTGTGTAGATAGCCAAAAGTTCAGATGTTTCTTAGTTGGTGAAGAGATGCTTCTTTTTGTTCTTTTTGTCTAGTTCTGAAATGTTGGAAAAAACTGCTGTTGAGTTGTTATTTGCAAAAAAAGTTGCATAATATGATTAATATTTTTAAATTATATTTTATGTTTTCTAAATGTTGGTTTTGGGAATTTGGAAAATCTTTAATACAATGAAACCAAGTTTTGCTTAATACTATCAAATACAGTGTTTTCATTTATGGTTTTAAGTGATTCATTAACTTTTATTTTCTACAGATCAACAAATATAATGTAAAAATCAAAGTGAATTGAATTTATATTTTGGTCTATATAAGGCCAACCATTTATGTATTTGGACATGACCATATGACTGATGGTCACCTAGTTTGCTCGTATAATATTAAAATTTTAGTATTTTAATACTAAATACTTTAACATTTATTTTAATATTTCATTTGTAACAAAGATTTTCATGTCATGTAACTTGGTGAAGTGGCGGGACTACCTATTTCTTTCTATATGCTTTATCCCTCTGTCCTATCAAAGAAAACAGCAACATTCCTTTTTCTTTTTAAGGGCCCAGCAGATACCGATTTGAAGCTTCCTTTCCCTTCATTCCCTTCTATTTCCCATCCTTTCTCAGGAGTGGCTCACAAAACTTTTCTTTATGTGTCCTGTGCATGAGCACTCACATAGTTTAAGCATGTTTCTCCAGGAGCTGTCCTCACCCCTTCTGTTGTTGTTGCTGCTGTAATTCAGCTTTACCTTCACAGTACTCTCAGTCCTTCTCTCCTGAAACTGTTACTTCTACAGAAAATCCAGGACCATCCTTCGATACTTAAAATGTTCACACTAACCTATGAGCTCTGTGCCACGAGGGAATGGCTCTCTGTGCCATTCCAGGGAGAATCAATTTCACTTTGCTATCAACCTGCATCTTCTGTTTTATTCCCTGATTCTACAACATACACACTATGAGAGGTAGCATGCTCCGATAGAGAGCCCAAGGCCTGAAAATAAAATACTAGGATTACAGCACAAAAAATTAAACTTAGAAATGAATATCAGAAAACCTAGGATCACCTGGCCTGCCCCTTCCCAGGGAACCCCTAAGAGATTCCCTGTGTCCAGCCTCTGCTCTGATGATGAGCTGCTTCTTCACTGAGGATGTTCTTCATTTTCTGTCTAGGTCACCTCTGAAAGGAGATTTTATATTCCCCTTTCTTCAGTTTTAGCCCAAAGGAAACAGAAAAAAAAGTTACTATGTAATCTCTGGACAGTCTGACCCATCCATGGTCTTTTTACAAGACGCATAGCACAGTTGTTTCTGAAGGTCCATGCATTCAGTTTTACCTTGTTCACAAATTCTCCTTTATTTAATTATTAAATGGGTAGATATTTGACCAACGATTTCTGAAACTGAGAGGGTAGTCCCCCCAAGTTGTCTGTCTATATAAAGGGAAAGCCTAATAATTTATTTATATCTATATAGTGACTGGAAAAAAAATGTTACCTGTTATTAAACAAAGTAAGGCAAAAACAGACAGCAATATGCACCAGATAGCATCCTCTGGGAAAAAGATAAGGAATGTAAAAAGTTGTAAACCTGGAGTTTTGGGGAAAGACCAAGGACTGTGGACTGAGATGAATTGGCTTTAGAAATATTTCATTAGTTTTATGGTTATTCTACCCCAGTTTTATTATACAAGGATGTGTCTTCAAAACTTATATGCATATATATATATATATACACACACACACATATATATATACACACACGTATATATTCAAATATATGTATTTATATACACATATATATTCAAATATATATGGTATAAGAAATTATTTTCTTGATTTATGTAGTTATTTTAGGTGAGATTCTAAATAATATATTTTATTCACTTAAATAATATATTTTTAAAACTTACAATAATGCATAAAATTGCATTCATTTTCATCGAGAGCACATTATTGTTATGAATACAATTTTGGTCATTTGCTATATTTTTCAGTTGGTTCCATTGTGTAAGACAATGGTCCTGCAAATGTGCAGCAGTTCCTTTAAGGTACTTATCCAGAAATAAAAATACTGTTTTATGTGTATGATGATAACTGCCTTTACTAGCTGTCACTGAATTGATCCCCAGTGCATTTGCACCACTTTACATTCCCCAAAATACAGTAGATAAGTGTTCTTATGTCCGCATATCCTCTCCAACATCTGCTTAGTCAGTATAATAGGAAATTAAGTAGGGGAGTCCCAAATATTACCTGATGAGAAGGAAGTGTCCACAGGTCTTAATTACACTATTGGTTATATAAACAACTTTGTGCTTATGTTTTTAGCAGCTCCTATCATACTCTATCATGAAAGAATAATTAATAGCAAATTTTATTAAAAAGTCTATAAAAGTAACTACCATGGGAAGGGAATGATGTACAAATGAACTATAATTTAGTGACATTCATGTGTGATCTGCTAAAATGTGAATCTGCTATTAGCTGTGATGTAGAGCTTAAGCCATGTGTTTCTATGCATAAATATTATTTCCAGATTTATGATATCCCATACTAAAATTCACTGTGTATCAAGTCAGGGACTATAACTAGCTAACTAAATAACAAAAAAACAATGGAAATAGAAATATTATTATAAATGTTTGATTTATAACTATACAGTTAAATATAAAATATCCAGTCCCCTAATGTAGACTTAGGTATTTCTTCCCTGAAAATTTGCAATTGTGGATAAAATAGTCATTTATCCACAATTTGGAAATGTCTTTTTTATGTGCATTTCTTTGTTATCTTGTTCAAACCTGTCAGTTTGATGGTATCATTCATTCATTCAACAAACATTTATTAATCTTTCTATGTGCATAACATTAAACATCATAGTTTAATGATGTGAGGGTATGAGCTCCATTCTGGGGGAATGTGTATTCTATTGCAGTATCACAATTCAGGAACACGATTTTTTTTTTTTAAATCATGAATCAGTTTCTACTTCTTGAAAATAAAATTATGTAACTTATTCTCTAACCGGAAAGCAAAAACTAATTAGAATCAGTAAAATATCATTCAAATGAGCATTTTTTCACATATACATGTGTAATTTTCCTTTACTTTGTTGCTCTATAAAAGAAAAAAAATAACAAGGTATTCTTTCTTAAAGAAAGATAAACTGAATCACTCTCCTTGGCTGCTCATAAAAGATGGATATTTTTATCCCCTTTCAGCCTACTTAAAATGATAGTGATCCAAATGACTAGAAAAATTGAAACAGATTCTGGATACAGTGGAAACTAGCCATGTGGAAGATAAAATTGACTTTAGCATAGATATATGTGACTAAAACACATATCTAAAAGGTTTCAAGATAACATAGAAATATTCAATTTAGGGACTTGTACACAGAGATCCTGTGGACAAAACAGTACATTGTAAAGTCCAAACAGAAGTAAAAGTTGTGCTTGCTTACAGAAATTTCTTTAAAATTGTCAAACTCTTACATTTTCTTCAGTTAAGACAAAGTTAAATTCAATGGAGTTCTTTGAACTAATCTATTGTTATTATGTCTTAGTCTTCTGGCATTTTCCTGGCCTGTTATGCATATACAGACTTTCAATTGTTAATTAAAAGTATCTTTCTTTAAATAAACAGAAATTGCAGGTGGAAAGTTTTACTCAATCATCATATGACACAGTACAAATCTTTCAATATCCTGTAGTTTATATGTTTATGTGTGTATTTGAAAGTTAGAGGAAAAGGGTGATGGAGGACAGAGGAGAGGGGGAAAGGGAGGGAGGAAAGAGAAAGAGAGGGAGGAAGGGAGGGTGAGAGGGATGAGAAGAGGGAAGAGTAGAAAGAGAAAGGGAGAGAGAGAAGGAAAGGGCAATAGGAAACTGGAGCTACTAGGTAGATTGAGAGAATGAATTAAGACATTAAAAATCTTCAGGACTCCAAATGCTCTCCACAAAGAACTGCTTTACCATTTTGAAAATCTCTTTATTTCTACCATTATTTTAAATATACTTACCTTGTGCCTTGCTCAGTTTGGTCACTTCATCTTCCCAACATCTGCCTGCATCTTCAGCTATCACCAAAATTCTGAAACAAACCTTTCAGCAG